TTCATTGAAGAGTTTAAACAGTAGTGGCAGTAGTTCCTCTCTAAATGTCTTGTAGAATTCAGCAGTGAAGCCATCAGAACCTGGGCTTTTCTTAGTTGGTAAGTTTTTTATTACGTTTTCAATTTCATTGGTTAATATTGGGTTGTTTAGAATTTTTAGGTCTTCTTCGTTCAACTTTGGCAATTCATATGTATCTAGGAATCTGTCCATTTCTTCTGTATTGTCCATCTTGTTGGTGTATACGTTCTTGAAGTAGGTATTGATGATTCTCTGGATATCTGCTGGGTTTGTTGTAGTTTAACTCTTTTCTTTCCTAATTGCATAGATTTGGGCCTTTTCTTTCCTTTTTCTGGTAAGGTTGACTAAGGGTTTGTCAATTTTGTTGATTCTTTCGAAGAAACAACTCTTGGCTTCATTGATTTTTGTATCATTCTCTTAGTCTCCATTGCATTGATTTCTCCTCTGATCTTTATAATTTCCTCCATTGTATGAGCTTTGGGTTTGTCCTGCTCTTTTTCTAGAAGCTTGAGGTTCAGCATCAGGTTGTTTAATTGGGTTCTGTTTTCCTAATATTTGTATTCACTGCTATGAATTTCCCTTGTAAGACCACTTTCATTGTGTCCCTTAGATTCCAATATGTTGTATTGTCATTGTCATTTAATTGAAGAAACTGTCTGATTTCTACTTTAGTTTCCTCTGTGACTCTTTGGTTATTCAGAAGTGTGTTGTTCAATTTCCACATGTTTATGAAATTTTTCCAGTTTCTCTTGCTATGGATCTCCAATTTCCTTGCACTATGGTCTGATAATATACAGGGGATAACTTCAATTCCTTTGCACTTAAACATGTTCTATGCGTGAGTATGTGGTCTATTTTGGAGAACAACCCGGGTGCAGCTGAAAAGAATGTGTATTCTGATTTTGTGGGGTAGAACACTCTGTAAACTTCTGTTAAATTCATTTGTTCAAGAGTTTGATTGAATTCTAGTATTTCATTACTTATTTTTTTTTGTCTAGTTGATCTATCTATTTGTGACAGTGGGGTATTGAGGTTCCCCACTACAACTGTATTAGTGCATATATGCCTTTTCATGTCCGTTAGTATTTGTTTTATATAGTTGGGCGCACTGGTGTTTGGTGCATAGATATTTATGATTGTCTTCTCTTCCTGTTGCATTGTTCCCTTTACAAGGATGAGGTGTCCTTCTTTGTCTCTCTTAATCAGTGTTGGTTTGAAATCTATTTGATCTGCTAAGAGGATAGCTACTCTTGCTTTTTTTCGGGTTCCCACCACATGGAGTATTGTTTTCCACCTTTCAGTCTATGAGTTTCCTTTTGAATTAAGTGTGTTTCTTGTATGCAAGATATTGTTGGATCTTGCTTCTTGACCCACTCTGCCAGTCTATTTCTTTTGATTGGTGAATTGAGACCATTAACATTGATGGTTATAACTGATACGTATTGACTTATCATTGTCGTGACTTTTTCTTTTTGTTGGATTCTCCCCCTTTACATTTAATTTCTTGTCACGCCTGATGGGTTCATTCTGCTGTGCTTCCTGAGGTTGTGGTCTCATTGTCTGTTCCTAGGAAATTGTGTAAAATTTTTTGGAGTGCTGGTTTGTTATTCATGAAGCTCCTAAGGTGCTCTTTGTCATGAAAGTATCTTATTTCTCCATCCATTTGGAAAGATAGTTTTGCAGGGTCCATCAATCTGGGTTGGAGGCTGTTTTCTTTTAGGGCTTGGAATATGTCACTCCAAGCTCTTCTTGCCTTGATGGTTTGTGTTGAGAAGTCTGCTGTGATTCTGATGGGCTTTCTTTTGTATGTGATTTGTTTCTTTTCTCTAACTGCTTGTAGAACTTTGTTCTTCTGTTGAGTTTCTGGAATCTTAACAATTATATGCCTATGTGCAGAGTTTTTTTAATCAAGGCTATTCGGAGTCCTGTATGCCTCACTTATCTGTATGTCAAGTTCTTTTCCCCTGCTTGGGAAGGCTTATCCTATTACTTCTCTCAGCATTTTTCTTTTAAGTCATGTGCACTCTCTCCTGTTTCTTCATTGACTCTAATCAGTCTTATGTTATTCTTCTTTGTGTCTTCTAGCAGCTGCTGGATTGATTTCTCGTAGTCCCTTACAATTTTGAAGCAATTTTTCTTTTCCTGGTCACTAATTGCAATCTTATCTTCCATATCTGAAATTCTGTTCTCATATTGGCTCATTCTGCTGTGTAAACTTTCAGTGGAGATTTTTATCTCCTGGAAATCTGTTTGTATCTGTTTTATGGATTCCATTAGTTTCCTATGTTGGGATTCCATCATGTTCCTCAGTTCCTCTATTTTTTTATCTGTGTCCACTCTAGATTTTTTAATCACGTCTTGCACCATGGGCAAAATCTCTGCTGTTATCTGAGAGATTATTTCTGATTTCACTTTTTCCAGATCCTCTTTTGTTGCCAGTTCAGGGAGACCAGATGGCTGAGTATCAGACTGTTCTATTTCGTTTCCCTTTGGGGTTGCTGTAGGTGATCTGGAAGTCTGTTTTTGAGGCTTGTTTATGTGTCTTCTCATTTTCTCGGGGGGTGGGGGAGGTTGCTGCTGGTGCCCACATGGGTAACCTCCTCTGCCCTGGGATTGGTGGAATGGTGGCCTGGGAGCCTCCTTCTGGGCGCTGGGATTGGTTCACCTCCTGTGCCCTGGGAGCGGTGGAATGGCGGTCTGGGAGCCTCCTCCTGGGGGCTGGGATTTGCTCACCTCCTCTGCCCTGGAAGCGGTGGAATGGCAGACCCTAGACCAGGACTCTTAAATATTTATCTCTGAACTCTTCTAGAACTGGATATCCATAGTCTGAACATTCATCAGACATCTTCAGTTGAATGTCCCAGGCAATACAAAATTCAAATGTTCAAGGCTCAAAACTAATAACCTTCTTTCATCTACCTACATCAGCTTTTTTGCTGATTCCAAATGCTTATGCTTGAGGTCTTAATTACCTTTTATTTTTACTCTGCTTGTATTCCATCAGATGCTAGTTCTTATAGCTTCTTCCTCTATAAATCCGGCATATACTTTCCTTCTTTTCTGTTCTCATTCGGATCTTCTATTGCTACATCTTGGCAATAACTCATGTTCCTTAGTCCCTCTAGTCCGTTTAGTTTTGTGGATCACTGGTAGCTAAATCTTCCTGGACTGCACTTCTACCTATATCCATTTTATCTCAAAGCCTCTGCATGCCTGCTTGTCTTTTCCCATTCACCATAACAGCCTGGCTCAGGTTCTCTTTCTGGCCACTTAACAAACATTCTTAAATCCACACAATACCTCCATGCCCAGCCAAGCCAGCTCACATGGTCTTTGAATGGGCTTTAGACTTCTGTCCTATTGTTAATGTTGCCAGAAATCCTTGTCTTTCCCTTTTCCATACCTGTGTGGATCAGAACAAAGTGCTCTCACATTGTAACCTAGCTTTTTTGCAAAGACTGCAAGGGTTAAATTTGGCATCCTCATTAATCTGGCAGTCATGATTGTTATGCATATTCTATAAACTATTTACCATAGTAAATGGATGCTTATAAGTATGCTTAATGTAGGGTTTTATGTAACAGTAAGTTATAGGAAACGACTAAAATAGGTACAGCTTGAGAAAAAAGATACATACATATACTGATGTGGAAAATTTACTGTCGAATATAGGCTGTGATTCTGTTTTTTAAAAAGTGTATGTATGTGTGTATTTTTTTTGGAACTGGGGATCAAACTCAGGACCTTGCACTTGCAAGGCAGGCATGGTGACACTGAGCTAAATCCCCAGCCCTTGTTTGTGTGTATTTGTATGGCATACACAAAAGATGTGGCAATATATGCAGAACTGTACCAAACAGCATTATTTGCATTTGTGCATGTTTGGGGTCGTTAAAATTATGGAGGACTTTTTACTGTGGTCCAAAAATGTTAATATTTGCTAATACTAAATGATGCTCACTGGTGTTTATTGCATTTGTATTTGATCAGTTTAAATAAAAATTACTACCAGAGAAATGCAATATTATATTTTAAATATGTACTTAAATATCAAGTATGCATTGCTATTTATTACTCAATGATCCCTTCTTGCAAATACACATCAGAAAATTTAGACTGTGTGGTTACAACTAGCAAGGAAGTATTTGATTGTTTGTTTTTTTGGTACCGGGGATTGAACTCGGGTCCTTGCGCTTGCGCAGCAGGTAGTGAAACCACTGAGCTAAATCCCTGGCCCCCAGCAAGGAAGTATTTGAATGGACGCCATAATGGTTACACAAAATTTAAACTTAGTTTCACTTATTTTTATGTAAATTATAGCATGAAATGTGTTTGATTCATTTGTATATGTTGATTTCTGATGGAGACCAAAGAGACATAAATGGTATATGTTTGTTTTATGGTGATCTAGGTGTGATCAACAAAACACTGATCTTCAGACAGCTAGAAGAAGATATGACCACGTAATTAGACATTTTCCTTACTATTATTTTATTAATGTTTTCTGTGTCAATCCAAAATAATATTTAAAACTTTGTGTTATCATAATAAAATTTTGAAGTTTTCAGGAGAGCAATACCAGTGTGAGGTTTTAAGAAAGCTACAGTGTAGAATTTTTTTTTAATAAAAATATTTGCTACATAAGATCTATGAAAGTTAAGGTTAGCCTAAATTAGACTTCAGTATGCAGTGGGAAATAAAGAATATCACACACAGGAGAATTAGAGCAGTTTAAAGTAGCCTTGTAAAATATGGTTGAATTAGGAATCATTATTTTCAATGGTTTTGTAGTTATTGGTTTGCCTCTTGGATGTTTTCAGTCATGTTATAATAAGACCAGCCAACAGAAATTTTAAAAATTCAGTATCTAATTCTAAACAATGAAATAAAACATCTTAGAAGAAATGCAATCACTCTGACCTTAGCTCACCTCTGGAAAACTCTGTTAATGATTTACATATCCTGAAGCTTACTCCCTAGAATAGTTTATAACAAATTTCTAAAGATAGATGTTGGTACCTCAGAAGATAATGACTCTAAATTATCCTATAAATGATATGATAGATCTGAAGAAAATGAAACCAATTGTTTATATTTTAAGCAGGATGGAATACTTCCAGATATTCCTGTGAAGAGGCTTTGTTTTTTACACTGGCAAATGCCAACATATATGGATATTTTAAAAAATATCACTTAAAACACATTACTGATTGTAAAAGCCCAAGTTCTACTTGGAAGTCAGATTTGTTTATAGGTCTCCCTTGCTATATTATTAACATGAATAATAATTATTGCATTAACTGGTAACTAAACTCCACTGTCCCAATTCTATGTTTCCTAATAATTACATTATAAGTAACAGTGTGTAGTGTGGAAGAAGGTTTGCTTAGTAAAATATCTGATGAATTGACCACAGAGCTTTGAGCCATAGCATCAGAGACTATCTGCATACTACATAATCATTTTCATAGCTACTGCATGATATAGACTTTTTAAATTAAAAGATAGCAAGCATAGAACTTTTAAAACTGGGAAACTTGGCATCCTGTATTTCATTTTAGAATGTGTGCCTTTAACCTAAAATATAATTGTTTAATGAATCTCAAGAGTTATTTGCTTTAGTAAAAAGTCTAGACTCAGAATAGGGAAACATTACCCCACCATTTCTAGTTTCAAGGGTCTGATTTAAAAAGTTATAACCATCTTCTAACCGGTTTTTACTGTTAGAGTTTAAACTGGAAGGGAAACTGGAAATGGTCCATTAAAAGCCTTTTAGGATAGCTCATGATAACCAGTTCATCAGGTGATATAAAGATACTTTTTATTTTTAGTTGTCAATTAACATCCCAGTGCACTAGACTAATAGCCCAAAAAGCCAGGGGACCATTTCAATCTCTTTCCACTTTCTGAAAAGTTCCGTCACTTCTTTCCATCCCCAAATATGTAGATGGCACCCATCAATTCATGCTGATGTAATGAAAGTAGACGACAGTGACATATTTTACCCAATACTGTAGTACACCACACACTCATTCACAATCACAGGCATTGTCTGTGTACTTTGTGCCAGGCGCTGTCCCAAGTACATTTCATGTGTGACTACCTTACTATTCTTATCTTCATTTTCATTTTAACAATTGGAAAATTGGGGCTTGGGAAGGCTCAGCTGCTTTCCAGAGACTGTAGAGCAGTTAAGTGAAGAGGTAGGAATGAGCCAAAGCAGAAAGTACTCTTAACCATTTCTGTATATTGGCATTGATGTAATTGGATGCTGATCATCAGCTGCTTGTTGCAGCCCCTTCTTATTTGTTAAGGACCTTGAGATAGCAGGATAAGTGAGAAAAGGAAGAATGATTGGTCTTTCTGGGAGAGGTGCATTGATTGGGAAACAGAGCATGTGTGCACTATTTCATTGTTTTTCAGGTATGCCTATTATTATACTGGAATCGGTGCTGGTGTGCTTATTGCTGCTTACATTCAGGTGTCATTTTGGTGTCTGGCAGCTGGAAGACAGATACACAAAATTAGAAAACAGTTTTTCCACGCTATAATGAAACAGGAGGTAGGCTGGTATGATGTGCATGATGTTGGAGAGCTGAACACCCGTCTCACAGAGTAAGTTTTATGTGTAGCTTGTTTAGCTCAGATGCAGTTTTTGTCCTTAATGAAATGAAAATGTCCTTAGATTTGTTAGCAGATATTAGTGACTCACTCAGCAAACTAAATTCCTTCTGAGTAGCAACCGTGTCTTGTGTACCTGGTTTGGAATGATGGGACCTGCTTGACTGGCAGTGAGTGGGGGAGTGGATTTGCCTAAATCAAGGAATATACAGAGAGTGCACAGTAAAGCAGTATGCAACAGAGCAATAATGTTATACTTTCTGGTTAAATTTCCAAGCAATTTGAAATTTCTGCATTGACTACTTTTTGAGTAACCACCGCCATTTCCTGGGGTCATGTGGACTATGGATTTCTGTTGTCAATGACGGATTTCCTACTAGGAACTGACACCCTGGTAAATGAAACAAGAATACACAGAAAGATCCTATATATGAACTATTTATGCTGCACTCAACAAAACAAAACAAAACAAATACAAAACTGGGCATAGGAGAAAAGTTCTGTGCTTCTAATTCTTTGTTCTATGTTTGTAATTATTTTTAACATTATTTGTTCTTTAGTGATGTCTCCAAAATTAATGAAGGAATTGGTGACAAAATTGGAATGTTCTTTCAATCAATGGCAACATTTCTGGCTGGTTTTATAGTAGGATTTACCCGTGGTTGGAAGCTAACCCTTGTGATTTTGGCTATCAGCCCTGTTCTTGGACTATCAGCTGGTATCTGGGCAAAGGTAGGTGAAGCCTGTGAATCCAGGTTTTATCTCCTGCCTACACCCTGTGGAAGGGACTTGAACCATTATAGCCCCAACCTTGTATTTCATACTTGCTTTTATATCTTCTGTTCAAAATTGGTAGGATAATCTGATGCAACCTCACTGAATACTGCCCCTGCCAGGACTCTATACTGTCTTTGACCATGTGATCATTTAGAAAGGTGTTAGAAAGAGGAAGTTACTCTTATATCTTATTTTCTATTTGCTTTAAAACAAAAACAGGTACTGAACTGTGAAGATCTGTGATTCAAATTTAGCGAACAGCGCGTCTCCCATCCCATCAACATTGTTTGGTTTAAGTGTTTTTTTGGTTTTGAAGACTTTCCTTACATTATGTTGATTTTACAGTTTTATTATCAGTTTTTTTTATGTTTATCTATATTTAAATTCATTGTTATAAAAATGATTTAAGAAAATAGATGCTTTCCAGCCCTGGATTCGTATAAATTCTTAACCTCTGGTTCTCTCATCCAGGTATGAAGGCAGAGCAGTAGAAGTGGCTGTCCCTACCTCTGAACACATGTCTCCAATGATTTTGTAAAACTTACTTTTCCTTCCTGAGTAGAAATGATATTCATTTTATGAACAGATATAATTTAAGATTGTTCTAGTTTATAGTTTTTCTCAGGTTACACATAATTTAGAGAATTCAACAAATTTGTTTAGCTAAAAGATATAAATAGTGGCAAGGCATCCAAAGCCAAGCCTAACAAAAATAAGTCAGGCTGTATTTGGAAGTTTTAGAAAAATTTCCCTGTTGGATGGATTTTTTAAAATTGCAAACAGTAACTCCCATTTATTGACCACCTGCCATGCGAAGCAAATGCATATTTTTTTCTAAAGTATAGGTATTATTTCATTTTGTAGAGGGAGAAACTCAAGTTCTGAGGGTCTATAAATTTGTTACTGAGAGTATCACAAGATTTAAATGGTCTTCTTGACCATTATCAGCTAGCTGAAATATTTGGCAAATGCTTTGTGTTGTCAATTGATTTTTCTGTTTACTAAAACATTAAGCAAGTTATGTGCAAACTCTTCACATCAGCACTTATTGAAACTTTTAAATGTTTTGATTTCTACTCTGCTAAGTTAGAAAAACAGACTTAATCTTTAATAAGTAATTATGCACTGTTTTGGATGCTGTTTATTTGATAAGAATAATTCTGGGGTGGCTGTTGAGACCTAAATTTTCTAATTTTTTCCCCATTAAGTTTATTGGTGCATTTTAGGTGTAAAATACAGTTACATTCATCATTGGGATCTTGTACCTTTACATGAGTATCTTGGTTCTTTTTTCCCCTTCCCTTGCCCTCCCTTCACCCCCTCCACACTTCCCTAT